CTGTGCAACATCAAACTGTGCTTGATTCCTGCTCAGAGCAGCAGGATGAGGGAAGGCAGGAGAGGGAGCTGGACAGAGCTGCCCTGACAGAGCAGTTTCATGTCCATGGGGTGGTGGAGGGATCATCTTCATCCCCTGACCATCTTCATCCCCAACCATCCTCATCCCCTGACCACTTTGCCATTCCCTCACATTGTCCTTGCTCTTTCCAGGCCATGTTTGACTGGCTGGACAACGCTGTGATCAAACTGTGCAACATGTCCCCCGTGGGCACCGACCTGAGCACGGTCAAGGAGCAGATGAACGAGATGAAGGTACCTGGCAGGGGAGGGAGAGGTTCCTGTGGCGCTGCTTTGCCTCACAGAGCTCCAGTGATTCACTCTGCCTCTGGTTTTTGTCCTGCTTGTCTTGGCAGGAGTTTAAAATGGAGGTTTACCAGCAGCAGATTGAGATGGAAAAGCTTAATCACCAAGGTGAACTGATGCTAAAAAAGGCTACGGATGAGACAGACAGAGACATCATCAAGGAGCCACTGACAGAGCTCAAACACCTCTGGGAGAACTTGGGCGAGAAAATTGCTCACAGACAGGTAGAGTGAGCACCTGGGGCTGTCACAGGATGAAACAGGCTGGGGTGCTCCCCAGCCAGCCCTTTAAAACTCCCCTTTTCCATCCCTGTCCTTGCCCAGCACAAGCTGGAAGCCGCCCTGCTGGCCCTGGGCCAGTTCCAGCACGCCCTGGCAGAGCTGATGGCCTGGCTCACCCACACCGAGGAGCTGCTGGATGCCCAGAAACCCATCAATGGGGACCCTAAAGTCATCGAGGTGGAACTTGCAAAGCACCACGTGAGTGTTTCCCCACCCCAGATACATTTTTAGCCCATTCCCATGGCAGCACTCCATTTCTCATGAAGGATTTGAGCTGTTTTGATTTCCCTGGGAGCAAGCAGGGTGTTCAGGAGAGGTTTCCAACCTTTACCCACATCGTGCAGGTGCTGAAGAATGATGTGCTGGCCCACCAAGCAACCGTGGAGACAGTGAACAAAGCAGGGAATGAGCTGCTGGAGTCGAGTGCAGGGGACGATGCCAGCAGCCTGCGGAACCGCCTGGAGAAGCTGAATTCCTGCTGGGAATCTGTGCTGCAGAAAACAGAGGAGAGGGAGCAGCAGCTGCAGTCCACCCTCCAGCAGGTCAGCAGGAGGCAGTGGGAATCACCCCTGTGCTGTGGGTGCCACTTTTGCTTTGTTTTAGGGGTAAAGGTTGGGGCGACACTTGGATTTTTAATGGAAGTTTTTCTGTACCTGCTGTGGTTCAGTGCCTGCCCTGAAGTGCACTGGGCACCAGGCACACCTGTGGGTTGTGGACACACCAGTCTCACCCTCCTGAGCACGCTGGCACGTCCAGCTCTGCCCCTTTATCTGCTTTCAAAGCAAAGCCAGCGTTGCTTTGCCCCTGGCACTTGATCAATGGTGGCTGATGTCATCTGATCCGGGGCCGATTCTCTGCTCCCCAACAGGCTCAGGGTTTCCATGGTGAGATTGAAGACTTCCTCCTGTGGCTAACGAGGATGGAGAGCCAATTGTCGGCCTCAAAACCCACGGGAGGTCTGCCAGAAACTGCCCGGGAACAGCTCAATGCCCACATGGTAATTTCTCAGGAGAGATCTTTGTTATTTTTTTTTCCTTTAAAATGCTTTTAATTCAGCAAGTTCCTGTCAAACATCACCATCAAAACTTCTCCTTTCTGTGTGTGATGGGGAGAACAGGCTGCTCTGGTCTCCTCTTAGAGATCATTTTGCATTTGATGCCTGGAACAGCCATCAGGATGCTTTAACCACCTTCCCTCTGCTCAAAGCGTCGCTCTGCTGTCACTCCCCAGCCTCATGTTCCCATCACCTGCAGCCTTGCAGCACCACATGTTCCCTGCCTGGGCTTTTCCCTGCCTAACCCTTGGCTGGTGGCTCTTTGCAGGAGCTCTACAGCCAGCTCAAAGCCAAGGAGGATGTCTACAGCCAGCTGCTGGCCAAGGGGAGGCTGATGCTGCTCAACCGCGATGATTCCGGCTCCAGCTCCAAGACAGAGCAGAGCGTGGCCCTGCTGGAGCAGAAATGGACTCTGGTCAGCACCAAGATGGAGGAGAGAAAGGTAAAATTGAGGGGAAAATGCATCCAGCCTTGCCCCATGGTCTGACTGTGACAGTGTTCACGGGGTCTGAGGATGAGGGAAGAGATGAGGATCTGACTCCGTGTTTCAGAAGGCTTGATTTGTTGTTTTATGATATATATTATATTAAAACTACACTAAAAGAATAGTTGTGATGAAATCCTATCTAAGAATAGAATAGGAAAGAATGATAACAAAGGCTCTGTCTCAGACTCTCTGTCCGAGCCAGCTGGACTGTGATTGGCCATTAATTAGAAACAACCCCATGAGACCAATCCCAGATGCACCTGTTGCATTCCACAGCAGCAGATAATCAATGTTTACATTTTGTTCCTGAGGCCTCTCAGCTTCTCAGGAGGAAAAATCCTAAGGAAAGGATTTCTCATAAAAGATGTCTGTGACGGTCTGGCAGCAGCTGCTCCCTGTTTTCCCACACAAAGTTGGGATTTGGGATTTGGGCTTTTTTTATCCATTTTCCTTGGTTGTAAAGGTAGATTCTGTTTCTCAGGTGGTGCTGAGTGTCAGGCTGTTGGTGTGGGGGTTTTTTTTGTAGAATTGGTTAAATCACACAGAAAATGAGGGTGAAATGGCGTTTTGGGTTAATTCAGAGAGGTGGGAAGAAGCCTCCTGCAGCTCTCAAAGGCAGCCTTTGTTGGTGCAGCCAAACCCTCCTCCGAGCTGACTCCATCCTCAGCTTTTGGCCGGGGATGAGATAAAACAAGGGCCCAGAATAAATCTGCAGCTGCTGCCATCAGAACCCCATCCCCATGCAGCCAGGCCTGTCCCCACGGAGATCCCTTCCCCAGGAAGCCGAGGGTGACGCAGCTGCTCGTGTGCTGAGGAAGGGCTCCTCTTTCAGGCACCGCTCTTGTTTGCAGAGAAAGCCTCGCCTTTCAGTGCAGCCCCCTCCCCTTGGCACAGCCGTGGTGTTTCTGGGCTGGGGGGGTGATGAGGTTCCTGCTGCAGGGACACAAAGGCTGCCTCTGTGTGCAGATCACAGCTCTCACCCCTCCGTGCTGTGTTTTTTTCCCTCTCTCTTTTTCTCTCCCTTCCCCGCTGCCACAGGCGAAGCTGGAAGAGGCATTGGCCCTGGCCACGGACTTCCAGAACTCCCTGCAGGATTTCATCAACTGGCTGACGCTGGCTGAGCAGAGCCTGAACATTGCCCCACCGCCCAGCCTCATCCTGGCCGCGGTGCTGGCCCAGATCGACGAGCACAAGGTACCCCAAGGGCTCCATCCCCGGG